TTCCTTTCCTTTCCTTTCCTTTCCTTTCCTTTCCTTTCCTTTCCTTTCCTTTCCTTTCCTTTCCTTTCCTTTCCTTCCTTCCCTTCCCTTCCCTTCCCTTTCCCCTTGAGATCAAGCTAGAGCTGTGTGTGTATATGATACAACAGGTATCAAACAAAAACATTTAATGTGTGTATGTGTGTGTGTATATATATGTATATATGTATGTATATAAAACATTAACATGTTTTTGTTTGATACTTGTCAGATAATGTTGTTTTATGGTGGAAAAACAACAGCAGGTGTAAAAGCCATTCTCCACAGCCACTCTGAACCTATATTCCAGTGCAAATGAAGCCTGGCCTTATTCTGAAAAAAAAAGTCTCAATGCTTCTTTGCATTGTGAAAATCTTTCTTTGCTTCTGTGGAATTTCCTGGATATTTTCTTCTTAAATATAATCTCATGAAAACAAAAATGGCTGGTTCAAATTCAAAACTGCTTATTCAGTTCAGATGTGCCATTCATGATCACCTCAGTTGTACTGTTCTCAAGGTGCCTGATTTTTGCAATCTGAGATCCTTCACATTGTGCTGGGCCCTTCAAGTTCTACTCTTTTGCACTGATCCCCCCCTCATGCCCCCCACCCCTCTGGTGGTCAAACAGCTGTCAAGTCATTTTGCTTTTCTGTGTGCTTTAGTATAACAGCCATCTTCAGCTTGCTGGTGTCAAAACTAATATTTAGCACAAAATTTAAATGGAGAAGTATTTTACTGTCCTTTAAAGTGTCCTTTGTTTGTCTCTATTCTTTTTTCTACCAGTTGTATCTTAAAGAAAAGCTTTTTTTAATAGCGTTGCTCATTCAGAACGGCTGACCTTAAAAAATCCAATTCAAAAGTCAGCAGATCTTCCTTTTGGCTCCATCTTGTGGCTGTTTGGACAGTTCCAGGTCTGATCTTGCCTGCAAACCTGGAATTATAGGATTACCGTAGAGTTAATAGCTTCCTCAACTAGGTGCCCTTTCTATGTTGCCCTTTTTCATTCCCAGCCAGCAATAATTAGTTGACAGTGTTAAACATTGATAGTGGGCTCATACACCCTTAGGCTAAGTTCACATTTGTAGAAAGAACATCTCATGATAAAAGCATGGTTCACACATTTATCAGATGGTGATGCTTGTCACATGGCGGAGAACTAGGCATATATGCACCATCTTGTTCCCTACTTCTTACAGTGCATGCTAGAATATTCCACTCCCAAACCCACTGACTTATGTGACCTTTCTCCCTCCCTTTTTAAGCAGTGAGCAGGTGATTCCTGGCTCTGATTTCCACTTCTGAGAAGAATGTGCATCTCCTCAGTGGGAAGGAAACGGAGCCCATTCTGATGGGCTATCCAGCATAATTCCTTCTCTGTGCTCCAAAAGAAGTGGGCAAGTGAAAGCAGCAGCTCCACCTGCTTCTTGGTGCTATGGCACTACTCACTAACTTGCCCAAGTGAGCAAGACATAATGCCCACCAGCCTTTTGTCTCAGGTTGAGTTTATTTTATGCAGTGTATGGCATATAATGTGAGGGAAATCTACACATGCAGCTAAACAAACAATGCAGTCCTGACAGCCTAGTTCATTCTGTTCAGTGCTTATGCACCTTGTCTTGTTGTACCGCAGGGCATGAACTAGCTTTTCACCAGATAACTAGTGGCACTTGGGTTGCTGGCTTTTCCAGACTCCTCCGCCCATGTCACCTTGCCTCGTCTTGTCTCACATCCAGCCAGATCCAGTACCAGCTTTCTGCTCTCCTCCACACGAATGCAGCTAGGTTTTCCCCACCAAAGTGGTACCCATTTATCTACTCACAATATTGCATAGGTTAATTACCTGTCCTGGTCTGCATTGTAGCATCCTTGCTTCTCTGGATCACTAAGAGATTCAGCAAAGAGTGCCAGTTTTGCTTCTCACCTGTTTCTTTTTTTGTGCATAGAAGAGACCCCCCTTGGCCTTGTTTTGACAACTAGCTCTAGGGAGATTTAGCATCAGTATTCTTCTTCCCTATCAGCTCAGCTTGTCAGTGGATCTCCATCCACATTTTACACATGCTTGATGTTCAGAGGGTTGGAGGGGTGTTGATTCACCCCCAATCAGGAGAATCAACCTAGATATTAATGAAGCCTGTCTTTATTCCCTAAGGTACCATTCTCAAACTGCAGCAGAGATTGCCTTCCAGGTACAAGGAAAGGTATAATTGAGGGAGAGCCCACCTGCTGCTTTGAATGTGTTGAATGCACAGATGGAGAGATCAGTGATGAAACAGGTATGATCTAACTCTGATTTTTTTAAAAAGCAGCCCCCTCCTCTATTTATCCAAATGGACTCAGAATTCATTTTGGGAAGTCACCATTGATAACGATACACAGTTACAATGTGTTAATGAATCACTAACCTCTTCCATTGCTCCATCCAGTTAGTTTATTTACGGATTAGCGGTGGATTTTGTGCCAGAAGTGAATGCAGTTGGAAACAGTGCAGGTTTGGGAGAAAAGCAACAGAACAGAAATGCGCTAAAGATGATTAACTGGCCTTTGGGTTTAAGAGTTGGCTCTGTATTCTGAACATAATTTCACATACAATTCCTGGGGGCTGCAATGTATATTAAAGAATCATGAGGTAATCTCTGAGTCAAGGAGGAAAGCTAATGAACTCAATTAAACTGAAGGAGACATTAGCCACAACTGATTCTTTTCCTCCCACTTCTTCTGCCAAAACACAGTCCCTTAGGAAAGTTCCATCCTGCTTTTTCTTTTCTTTTTTTCTGAAGGAGGATGGAACATACTTTCTTTCCTTTTTTTTGTAAATGAACAGGATTAAAGGACGTACAAACCATAGTTGTTTTGTACCACTTCCTAGGAGTTTCTCCTCTACAAAAGCCATGGAAAATAATAAATATGTACAAGAATGGAGCCATGGTATTTTGGCAATATGTCATGTCGATGTCTTTGGGCCTCTTGACAGAGATGCCACTAAGTGCAGTTCCTGTTCAGATATCTTCTTTTAAGCAAGGATGTTTTGTCTTTTCCAGATGCCAGTGCTTGTGAGAAGTGTGCTGAAAACTTCTGGTCCAATGAAAACCATACCTTCTGCATTCCCAAGCAAATAGAATTTTTGTCCTGGACAGAACCATTTGGAATTGCTCTCACTCTTTTTGCTATACTAGGCGTCTTCTTAACCTCATTTGTCCTGGGAGTCTTTACCAGATTTCGCAACACACCCATTGTCAAGGCCACAAACCGTGAACTCTCTTATCTCCTCCTGTTTTCCTTGCTCTGTTGTTTTTCTAGCTCCCTTTTCTTCATTGGTGAGCCTCAAGATTGGAATTGCCGCTTACGACAACCAGCCTTTGGTATCAGCTTTGTGCTCTGCATCTCCTGCATTCTGGTGAAGACCAATCGTGTTCTTCTGGTCTTTGAGGCTAAGATACCAACAAGCCTCCATCGCAAGTGGTGGGGACTTAACCTTCAGTTCCTCTTGGTCTTCTTATGCACATTTGTACAAATTGTCATCTGTGTCATCTGGCTTTATACAGCTCCCCCTTCTAGCTTCCGTAATCATGAAATGGAGGATGAAATCATCTTTATCACTTGTAATGAGGGCTCCTTGATGGCACTGGGATTCCTAATTGGTTACACTTGTCTGCTGGCCGCTATCTGCTTCTTCTTTGCTTTCAAATCCCGCAAGCTGCCAGAGAACTTCAATGAAGCCAAATTTATCACCTTCAGTATGTTGATTTTTTTCATTGTTTGGATCTCTTTTATACCAGCCTATGCCAGCACCTATGGCAAATTTGTCTCAGCAGTGGAGGTGATTGCCATTCTGGCAGCCAGCTTTGGGCTTTTAGCATGCATCTTCTTCAACAAGGTCTACATTATCCTTTTCAAGCCATCCCGCAATACCATTGAGGAAGTACGCTGCAGCACGGCTGCTCATGCTTTCAAAGTGGCAGCCAGAGCTACACTGCGACGCAGCAATGTGTCCCGCAAGAGGTCCAACAGTCTGGGGGGCTCCTCAGGCTCTACTCCATCCTCTTCCATCAGCAGCAAAAGCAACCATGAAGGGCCCTTTTCGATACCAACATCTGCAGAACCTCAGCAAAAACATGGATGCAAGCAGAAGGTGAGTTTTGGTGGTGGAACTGTCACCTTGTCACTAAGCTTTGAGGAGCATCAGAAAAATGCTGTAGCCAATAAAAATGCAAAGCACAGAAACTCCTTGGAAGCCTGCAATAGTGATGATAGTCTCATGCGACATAAAGCCCTACTTCCTCTGCATGGCAATGAATCACTGGAGCCCAAATTCCAGACACCCTCAAATCAAGAATCCAGCATACCAGAATCAGTAGTGGGAGAAACCAAGCAAGGAGACCATGTAGAAGGGCCACCTTTGTCAGCTGCATACCTGCGGGATTTAGTAGGCAGTGACTCCATCAAAGAGAATGCCATCCATTCTTAATCAAAGGAAAAGGAACCAATTATTGAGCAGTTTTCTCCAGGACAGAGAGAAGAATTGAATACATCTTTAATTCCTCTTACTATTAGAATCAGCAGGCTATATCTACTTTCAAAGGAAAGTTGAGACAAACAGTTCCTTAGCATGTCTTTAGCTATCCTTTTAGTACAACCACCCATGGTTGTGGAAGATAATAAGAAAGAAAACTTTGGAGCGGCAAGAAGGTATCTTTCTCTCCCAGCTATCCTGTAGAAGAACTTTTTTCCTATTCTCCTTTCCACCACGGCAGTGGTCCAAGTCACCAACCTGCTGGTTGTGAGTGTGTCGAAGGTTCCATTAACATGCTCTGCTTTTACATCAATGTACATTATCCCTTTTTTCCTTGTGTATATTAATTCCCCTTTATATGTAAAACTGCTTAGCAACTTTACAAGATGAAACTTGCTTCTTTACATAAAACAAGTCATGTGGTTTGCTTTAGAAAATATTCTCCAGTACCCATGGAAGCATACTCATAATGTTCAGCCAGTGGCTTGAACTTGTAAAGTATTTAAAATTATAAATAGTGATGTTTTTACACATGAAGCCAGGGCAGATGCTTCACACCTAAAAAATAGAATTCTGTGGTCTTCAGATACGCCACCATGTTAGCCAGTACTATGGATATCATGTGCCATGTTATCCAGATTTAATTCACCTTGAAGGCAGAGAAAGGGAAGAGAAGCCATATTCCTAGGGCAGTGTTTTTCAACCTTGGCAACTTTAAGATGTTCAGACTTCAACTGGAATTCCCCAGCCAATTGAAATTCTTAAAGTTGCCAAGATTGAGAAACACTGTCATAGAGAAAATACAGAAATACAGAGAGCTCAGTGAAAATGTGTCTTTTATTTCCTGTCAACCTTGGATGGTATCTCTACCCTAGCAGGCCTTTTGTGCATCAAAGAGCTTCAAATGGAGAAGAGCAGATCTAAGAAGCTGTGTGTCCCACAAATTAGGAACACAAAACCCAAAAGTTTAGGAAACAAGCATAGCACACAGCAGCACAAGATTGACAATTGTTGAGATAACCAGATTCTATAATGAACCTGGTTATAGAACCAGATTCTATTATGAAAAGCTATTAATAAAGTAAGCTAGTTAAATATAATGTAGTCATTTTTCAAAACGTATCAATTGAATCATTCAATACAAAAGATATGCAGATAGTTTAATCTTGTTCTGTGGCTAGAATTCTTTTTAATGGGCAAATAAATGACAGGTATAGTTAAATGTTAGGTTTTGTCACATGTGAAATGAATGTCAGAACTTGGTCGCTCTAATGTCTGCAATTCCTACTTTTTAAAATGTGTTTTCCAGACAGAAGTTGCCAAGCTGAGTTCCATAAGCTCCTATGCATACAGAAAGAACTGAGAAAGAAGCCAGGAGTAATATTAAATCTGGTGGTAATGGATTCTGATTGAATCTTCTGCTATACCATATTTGCATAGCATAAGAGGAACCCCTCTTTTTTCCAAAAGATTTACAGATTAATCACTTCACATTTTCCCACCCACAGGAAATATTTATATTTATCCATATAAATAAAGCAATGTGCGTCCATTAAGAAACCCAATGTAAAACTCCGTTTGAGCTGTGAGAGCATTTTGAACAGTGGATGTATGCTAAAGTAGGCATGCACCAAGATCTGGACTGCAGGTACAAGGACTGCTGCTAGCTGGCATCAAAAGGATTCAGGGAACTAATTTCTACCGTAGGAGCATCTGGATGGTTGAAGTCAGGTGTGGTATGTCCATGCCAAGCCCAAGCCAATCATATTCTAGCTTAGTATGATGTGCAAATTCTGTCCAATTGTACTACATTTAATTAACCCAATGAATCAAGTCATGGATCAGTGTAATATACAGCCTTATTAGCCTGCTTATCATAGATTGCAAGCAGTTGCTAAAGAAAATCAATTGTTTGAGAGGAAATGTAGATACTTCTGTTTTTAATGCCTTTTTATGGAGTATACTCTAGTGCTTTGGAATTAACTATCCATTTATTCAGGGGTGAATGGAAGGTAATTTAAGATCTATTGAATGGTGGTGGGTGATGTGGAGTAGATTGGCAGGGATCTCTGACTTCCACTCATTGAACAAGATTTACCAGAGAATAACTGCCCCTTTCTAAAAATTCAGAAACCACTTGGACACACCATACAAGGATTTTTGCATAGATTATAGATAAGCTCTCACTCAGTTCGGGTACTCCAAACAAATCTCTGAGCTTGCTAAGCTTAGATGTCTCATATTTGTGTGTGTATACACACGCACAAAAAGAAGAAAAACATTAACCAGATGCAAAAATTAAAAGGAAATATGGAAAAAAAACACTCAAAAACTAAGAAGGCATATTAGAATAAATGTACAGTATACATAACAAAAAAGCCCAGTCCTTGAACAGCAAAACAACCTTGACCTACTGAATTATTGATTAGACTTTCCACACATAGGTAGAAGACCTGTTCATATGTAGAAACAAAACATATAACTATAGCCAAAGTTTTATTACAGTACTTTATCCAGGACTATGCTATGTCATTAATACTATGGCTTCTGGTTAGAGAATAGGAAAAAAATGAATAAGTATACATTTGGATTTAAGACACTAGTTAGCTTACATCTGACATAGTTATGAGAGACAGAAGGCCCATCAGGAACTATTTTTTTAATATATTTGGGCAAAGTTATTACCTTGAAGGTTGATATGATACATTTCTTTGTGATTACTTCAATGACAGTAAGAAATTTGTAGTGGATCACCACTAAGAATGCTGGTGAATAGAAGAAATTTATTGTGGACTCGATTAACTCCCCAAATCTTATCATCCCGCATACCAAAAGCTGTTCTTAAAAGTCTTGAAATTCAGTCAAGTGGATTTCTTCATCAAATCTAAATTAATCCTGAAGTGCCAGATTTTGAGGAAAATGAAAATTTAGGTTATGATTTTGGAGTCTAACAAAAAAAAAAACTAATATAAAATGGCCTTCGGTGTTATGTATATGGTAGTTAAAACACCCCTGTTCAGTGCATTCTGAAAACATTAAATAATTGATGTGAGATATAATCAACACACAGTTATGCTCTTCCCTTGAAATTTTCAGAATGCTTGTAAATATAAGCCTAGATGATGCAGATCTTACACCTCATATTGAGGCTAGAGAAAATCATAAAATTAAGCCTGTCCATCCCAAATACCTTAATACATAACATAAGAATTTAATATTTCTTTACCAGAGCATTAAAGATTTTATTAAGATCATTTTGTACTGCAAGGGTCTGAAAAAGCATATCTTTTTATCTGCTAGAGACCTCAGGGGATTTTTATTTTTAAACTCACCGATGCTGGGGGTGGGGGGGATGGTTCAGACAAAGAAATCTACCTTCAGATTGAATGGTTTACTTAGGACAGAATGACTTCCATGTACTACTCCTGAACTAGTCCAGGAAGCCTTTCATATTAGTCAACAGCCATCTCTCAAGCATGCGTTAGAAAGCTTCCTTTGCTGTAATTCCACACAGCAAGTGAAGGTTGCCCTGGTTTGGTTCAAAATAATAGGAATCCTAAGGCTGAAGACAGAAAAGCAATTTCATGGGGCTTTAAAATCTTAAAATATTCTTGTGACTTTAAAATCAATTGAATGAAAGCAGATTGGTACCATTTAGTTTCTTCAATCAACTGTTTATGCTTGGTCATAATACTGTAGGTGGATTGAATACCCTATTTTCTTCATCAGATGTTAGACTCACACATATACATATAAAACCCATATGTACACATATCTGCTTGTTCGCTGTATTATATGTTTCAGATTTTATTCAGGAGCTCAAGATGGTATACATAGTATTTCCTCTTCAGTTCGAACCCTCACTTTCCTACGAGAAAACCTAACCTGAGGGTGGGGCGTAAAGGTACGCTATGAGACAGGACGTTTGATCTTAGAGTCTCCACAGTTCTATTCCAGGGCTCTTAAGTGCAGCATGACACAAGTGAAATTCAAAATTTTTCCCTACCGGCTCTGTGGGCGTGGCTTGGTGGGACTCAGTCTCTAAAAGGAAAAGGGCGGGCATGGGCGGAGCCAACTGATTCAAATCGTCCCTACCACCTCTCCAAACCAATTCAAATTGCCCTTACCACTTCCCCCAAAGTGATGCGAGGTAGTTGAATTTCACCCCTGGGAAGTTTTTTATTTGTTCTGGTCTCTGGCTCTAATAAATCGAATTGAATTAAGTACAACATTGCAGCTTGGGGGGTTCCATTAGGAAAGCCACTGAGAAAAATACAGAGACCATACCCCAAATCGCACCAGTGTTCCATATACCTCCTGAATCTTAATTACCGTACTTTCTAGTTATTTAAAAACAATCTTTTTTTAAAAAAAATTGCTCACTAAAAGGCTTGTTGAAACAGTACTGGCATCAAATGCTATCTTGGTTGCAAGGCGTAAAGGCTGTAGAAGCAATTTACAACAAGCCATAGTTTCTTTCTTGTGAATGATGGTCATATATTTGCCACTGGGGGGGGAAATGGGCCGAATGTAGGTTTTCTTCCTGATCCTTCTTCATGGGTGGATGAAGAAGCTGGGGGAGGTCACCTACATCAAGGTAGTTATGAACCTTCCAAACTTGACTACCTACTTAACGTTCATTGAGATCTTAATCTGTTTCTACTGAGTCACACTGCTGATAGCATGCTGATTGTTGAATAGGAACTGAGTTTCATATCTAGCAAATGCCATCTATCTATTGGCATCATACTAAATGATTTTTTTTGCTTCCCACTTGTGGTCTAGCTAGACATGACATTTTAAAAGGGATAAAAATATGTTTAGTCAATTAAGCTGCTTCTAACAACATATATAAACACCGAAAATAGTTTCCTTAGTTCTTAAGAAATTGAAGAGTTTCCTGTTGATCATATCAAAGATTTATCTAAGCTATATTGCTGTTCTTTGTAGCAATC